TGCGAATCCCGGCCACGTAAGATTTTTACGAAAAGAAATATAGCTGCATTTACACGTGATGAAGCACGGTTCTCCTCGAAGGAGCCGAGGCTCGAAATTTACGAGTCTTGTTTGTAGAGCGTTGTCTCTGCGCGGAGAACATTCGTAAAAGATTTTTCGCTTTACGCGATTTCTTCAACTCGAAACCGGGACACGTGATATTTCATTTCGACCGTTGTCGTATTTCTGCGACCAACAGTCTCCCCGGTTTATCAAAAATTGACGTAATCGAAAATCGGAACGAGAACAGTCTCGTAAGGAGAAGAGAATTGACGTTAAGTCGTTCGAAAATATCTTTTTTTTCGGATTGATTCTTTATCTTTGGTAAAAGTTTTCGATGGTTTAATAATACACATATACAGGGTGTTTGGCCAACCTTGGGAAAAATTTTAATGGGAAATTCTGGAGGCCAAAATAAGACGAAAATAAAGAATACCAAATTGTTGATGCTCGTCTTATTTTGGCCTCTAGAATCTCTCATGAAAATTGTTCCCAGGGTTGACCGAACACCCTGTATATATACAATTAAAAGTCATAAAATGTTTTTTCGAGCTTGTATCGCATATAATAAATTTATAATTGAAAGCAAAGAAAACATAGCGACAATTAGTTACTTATGAGTCTCTGTAGATCAGTTTGAGCTGTTTCATTTATGGCTCGCTGGTCGAATGCTGCGTTTTGAGTAATTTCTGTTTCCATCACCGATGTATCAATCTTAAATTGGTGTTCCTAGGTCGCCAAAAACATCAATCGTGTGCATGTATTGTATGTACTGTACGTACGCACAATCACAGAGTAGCAGGCATGCATCGAAACGTGTACGAGATAAAGTATAAAACGGGCGAAATTCTTCGTGAAAATTCCTAACTCTCCATTGATCGTTAACGATTTTATTCTGGTTTTGGCCAATTAACCACCGCATCGTAGAATTTTATTGCATTTTGCATATTTGGAAACACGACCCATGTTATCCAATCCAGTTATCGAACATTTATTAGCGATCGTTACACAATTTTCAGCCTCGTCGAAGGTATTTTTCAATAAATTCTTTAAAAATCGATAAACACAGAATTTAAAGATAATGCGCGGGAACAGTAGCAGCGATTTGTGCAAAAATATTTCGGTACAAAGCTTTAATAAATATGTTAAGTAAACGATTAAATTCAACTTCGTAAAAGAATATTAACAAATGGTCGCCACTGCATATAAAGAATGATTATCATAGCTAACGCGTGATATCATTCATGTAAATTAGCGAACATCGATGGACATCGTAATAAATGATATAAAGATATGGAATATATTGGGAATGTTTTTACCTGGGAGCAACAGGAATAATATTTTTACATATCGTCCATGTTGATTGGGGACCATTTTTACCAATCAGCACGGTTGAAACGAATGGAACGGCAGGTTCGTAACGATCGTGTTAATTGGTGGAAATGGTTCCAATCAACAATGGAGAACATCTATAATATATTCCATCTTTTTTCTCTTTGGTATCACTTTTAAGATATCTGTTCGTGTTCACAAATAACACGTATTAATGAAAAAAATCATTTTACAAAGTTGAAAAGAAGCAAACAGTCGATTCCTCGACGAAGAAAATTTATTAAAGTCTTACGAAAGAAACTTTTGCACAGATTATTATTACCTTTAAATTGTACGTTCATTAATTTACAGATTTATTGAAAAGGCTTCGTAACAATTAGTAATAAATGTGCACGTGTACGAATTTTCAGTGAGCATCGAGGGTCGTTTTCCCCGATCGAAAAATTCTAGTTGAATTTTGAAATGACATCATTATCGTGCAAAAGATGTTTGATAGAGATTGTACATATCTCGAAAGGCGATTCCACCTCGAAATAAAATAACAGAAATTGTTTTCCCGACATTATATCGAAACGTCGACTTTTTCGTCGGGAAACAACCCTCCTAAAGGTGAATTCGTGTTATTTGTCGGGAAATTGTTCGTGGAAATATTTGTCAAAGAGGATCGATGGACGGAACAATTTCGGATAGAGCGAATACCTGCGAAACGAAACCCTTTGATGAATTTTTCGACGGACAATCGACGATCTGTTGACGGTCTGCTAACGAAAGATCAGCGATCTGTTAACGGTCGACCGATGGTCGGCGATCGATTAACGGATATCCAGGGAACAAATAATACGAGTCCACCTTTAATCCTTGGCTCGTGGAGGTTGCGTTTACGCCACCCTAATCGTTTTTTTTTTTTTTTTGTAAACAGCACATGACAGGCATACCGATGCACAACGGATTCAAGTACACTGACCATGCATGTCTAACTGTGAGGGACGAAAAGAAAACACTGACGGAACAGACTCGGACGCAGAGGATCGCAGCCAGAGCGCAAATGGGGGGTGCATGTGGGTGCAAGGGGGGGTGCATAGGGTCGCACACGCAAGCCGCGTTCGCGGTTTTCCACGTCGGACACCTGCCGTGCGACGAATTACTGCGGAGGAATAATAAACGACCGCGGGAAGCCGCGAGCAATTTTCACGAACGACAAGTTCTTCAACTTTGCAGACGTGTTCAGCGGTTAAAACGAGACGAACGAGTTCGCGGGTAGTTGCATAGTCCGCGGTCAATGCGCGGCCCCCGGCTCGGATTACTTCGATATTTGCTCGCGAACTCTGTCACGAGAGAATTTCCCACCCGCGCGTGGTCAGATTCCGCACGGATTCTCGAATCCGCGATTGGAAAATACTTACGGCGAAGGTAGAATTTTATTTTAAGGGTGTAAAGTCCCCCCGTCGATTTTAACGAAAATGGATCTATTTAAAATTTAGATTCAAAATTACCAAAACTGCGATTGCTTTAACACGTTGACCGGCAGACTGGAACTAAATTTTTTACGAGGTGGAAGTTTAATATTTATTTGAAGTAATCGATAGTCCGGTAGCTTTTATTCCTGTCGATCTTCGTCACCTCAGTCGATAGCGACGGTAGGACGCAAACGGTCGTTGTAGAATATTTTTATAACCTCGTTACGAGTTCTGTGCAGATTAATTTCGTTCCATAGTGAAAAATCGTGTCACCCGACAGTCAGCGTGTTAAAGCGATGGTCACAGGGGGGAAAAAATCCACCGTGACGGAGCGACGCGATATCGAGACCGAAGGAACCCGATCGTTCGGTGATCGGTAGTCGATGCCCATCGATAGGTCGCAGAAAAAAGAACTACGCGCGTCAATTTGCGCGGAGGTGGGACGGAATCGCGAGCACGGCGGAAACGCGCGGGAAGAACGGCCGGAAAAATCGCATCGGCTTCGACGACGCGTAAAAAAGGGGGCTCGTGAAAAAACGCGAATCCGACGGGCGTGGCGAGGCAAAAAAAAAAAAAAAAAAGAACGACACTGTGTATTGTGTCGGGACGTGGCCGACGGCGGTGCTGCGAGAAGGTGCGAAAGGGAAGCGATGAGTCGCATAAAAAACGCCTAGGCTATGAAATGCAAAATCAGCGCATTGGCGTGGCCGCGTTTTGCGCGCTCTTTATAATCGATACGGTGTCATTTCGTCCTTTGCTCTGCTTGTTCTCAGCAAACGTGGAAGAGAAAGAATCGCAGGCAAATACATCGAAAGCGGTTCCGATAGGCCGGCTGTCCTCGTGGCTGCCGTGTTTCTGTGTATTCGTGTCGTGGCGTGCTTTTGTCCACTTGTGGAGCTTTCGAGTAAAAAGCATTTTTAACCGTCGGAGACACGGAAAAACCACCTCCAACGATCTGATCGATGGTATCTGTTTGCTAGAAGGTTTCCATCGATCCAGCAAATCGTTGGAATTATTAACAATGTCTCTTAGTCACAAAAAAATAATTAACATTATACTCAGCCCATCTTACTGGGGGAAATATGTCTCAAGGTATTTGGGGCATTCTCAGTTTAGGAATCAGCGATTTTTATCATCGAATATCCTTAGACAAGTCGTGTCCTTTGGAAAAGTGTTCTAACGCTTTATTAGCAATGCTATTGACTTCGTCAGAAGTCTGAAGACACACTGTAGTGTGGGCAGAATCTATTGGCCGCTGAAGGCCATCGAGAAGGTACCCCACTATCAGAAAAAATGGCCCTGAGTGATCAATTGACTCTAATCTATCTGCAATATAGTGTCAACAGAAAATAATTTTTCCGTGAATGATTTGAAATTTTTTAATAACGACGCCTCAATCAACAAATTGATATTCTTGATTTTCGTATTATTTTGGCCTCTAGTATATGCTGGATATTAGGATACTGTCTCTAAAACAATAATCGACGTTTTCACACTTCCATCTTCGCTAGATCCTTTCAAGAACATTAAAAATCACTCGAAGATTTCTGTCCACACCAAAGTTGCAGAGTTCGAACGCTCCTCCAAGAATGCAGAGCCGGTCAAATTTAATTCGCGAGCGACGAATAAAAATTTCAGACGAATGAACGAACGAAGCACTTGCGAACGAAACTAAAATTTGCGTTCGTCGTTGGCGAACAAAGATGGCCGAGTTCTCCGGCTGGCAGGGATCGTTTCTCCGTCTCCGACGATCGAACGCGAACGGTCGCAAAGGACGCGTGAACACCGAGGTGTGTGTGTGTGTGTGTGTGTGTGTGTGTGATGTGTATGTGTGTACGTACAAGCGGATGCACTAAATGGGCTAGATCGAGGATGAGCGAAAAAATGTTGCGAGAAGGAAGCACATGAAAGAGAAACAGGGCATGAATAGAAGGCAGACAGAATGAAGTAGAGTCATGAAATAGAGAGAAGAGAAAGAAAGTTGCTCGACAAGACGTCTGCGAATGATACATGTAAGAGAGACATCGTGGTGTGGAATGGAATGAGTATAAAAAAAAAATATATATATATATATTCATAGATGTATATGTATATGTATATATCGAGAGAGTGCGAGATAGAGATAGAAGAAATGAAAGAAGAAAACTAGAGAAAAAGCTGGCGGCGAATTACCTTGAAGGACTGCACAGAGAAACCAGAAACCAGGGTTGGTCCGTAACATAAGAAGCGAACAGAAAACAGAAAAAAGGTAAACTTGTAATTAAGTTGTTCGCTGTAAGAGACACTGCTGTGATATGAGAACAGTAGTACGGTTCGTTCGTCGTGGCCGACGAGGGAGAACTTTTTGGACGCTCCGATGCTTTTGATCGCTTTTCGACTCGCGTTTGTCCGACGTTCGCGCGTTCCTGGGTTCGCGAAAATGTCTTCCTACGTCCTGGAACCCTGTTCGAGGTACACGCGAACGTCAGCGAAACGCTGTCTGCGTTTACTCAAGCGCTTGCGAGTAACTTGTTCTGCGTGGTGCAAATAGAAGGGCGGAGGGTGGAAAGTCTCTTCGTGTTTCTTTCTGTCGTACGACGGGTCCAGTGTGTACTACGGGGTGCTGTAAAAATTCTTGCTAGATCAAAAGGCTCTGCTGGATGGGTTCTGTCTATGTACCGCGGCAAAATCACCGAGAGAAATCATTTCCCGGAATTCGCGGAGTAGAAATCGATCGAGGAAATAATTTCTCTCGTTTGTGTCTTTCCTCGCAAATATCACCGCAGCTTCGATATTCCTCTGCAGGCAGTGATGTTTGCGAGTCGAAAAATCTGGAGAATTTAGGGAACTGTTAGGGGGGGTCAGTCAGTACGGGGGTGTAATCAGATTTAACGTAAGCCAGATGGCGGAAGTCGAGTGCCGGGCGCGAGTAAATTCGACCTGTTTGCTTTTATTTTTTGTCGAGCTATATTTTTCAGCTTCCAGTTTGCTGAAATTATATTTTCAGAGAATGTTTTCTCGGTTATCCCTGATCGGTATTTTCCCTTTTCGTATCACGTTCTGTCGACCCGGCGACCGTAAAACACTCCGTTCAACGGTTCATTCGCTTTTCGCGTGACGGGGTTTGACAATTAATTATCGTCTATGATATTGCAAGTGTCAACGCGTCGGTCGTGTCCACCTAACACGACGTAGCTATGCGTCTGAAGTGTCAATAGCACGGATGTGCACGCCATAAACAAATGCAGCTGCACGCGAACGATTTTTGCGCCATTAGGGTGTTCGTTCGATTTGTAACAGAAATCAGAAGCTGATTTCCCGAAGCATTTTTATCGTAAAATATTCGAGGCTGAACAGCGATTCGTGTAAAAATTTATTTTTAACTTTCGAGAGCGGTCGATCTTTCCACAATTTTTCAGCCTGAAAAATATAAAATCGCGTAACGAACGGCACGACTGATCATGTTTTTTTTGGCAACTCGATGCCTCTTCGGATTCTCCCTTTCGGGCGAGGAAATTCGATTTTAGGAAAATATTCGCCTCACGGATTGTCGCCTAGAAATACGCAATATTCGTCATAAATATGCTGCATTCAATCGTTTTGTCGCAATTCAAGGGGATTATCGATTATTCGACGGTATGGCGCGAAACAATGGGGACCCATCAGAAGATTGAGTTTGTACCTCTATGAAAGAATTCTATGCTTTGATGGTTTCGTCAAAAAAAAAAAGAGACACTCCTTTCAATTCTGTAATGAAAGGACGAAGTTTAGATTAAAATTTCAGTATCAATGTACGAGGATCGGCAAAAAATATGAGCTATAAAAACGATTTAATTATGTTATAGGAATTTAGGGAGCTTTGAAACTAAATGTAGGAAGATGAATCAAAGACTGTTCGTGGTCTCCTTTTATTTCGCGATCCATTTCTTAATGCGATTCAAACGTCATCGTTGCAAACGAAAGAGACTCGGGAATGCAATTACATGCAAAATACATGCTCCGTTGGTCGCGGATGTAATTTGATTATGTATGTGGTTTCATCAAATAAAACTTGCTCATCCATGGAATTTCAGATTAGTATCGTATTCCTACGAAACAGAATTTCCCAACCAATAGCGCAAGCAAATCTAATAAAGGAAAAAGTGCAGCCTTGGAACAAATGTTCATTCCTTTTATTTTTGGAAATACTATATTTCTGTATTATTAAATATATTTATATTTTATTATTGAATGCTCGAACATAATGAAACGAAAACAACTGCAATGCAAGCGCAATCAATGAATTTCAATAAATCTGTGTTTTGGAACTTTATTGAATGCAACGTGGGTTTGTTATTAATATAAATTCGTGTTAAAATATGTACGATGGCCAATAAACTAAAATAATAAACACATATTTATGAAAGGTAAATATCGGACGTGAATTTATTTGTCATGTATGAAGAGACAAGGTCTATCGATCAATTTGTCGTATGATACAATAATTATTTGCCGTTTGTTCCTGAATTATTATATAAATATATTTTATAAAATATGTGTTGGTAGATGCGACACAAAAATAGATAAAAAATTAAATAAACTTTGCTCTGGGCTGATCGAGGTTTGTAATGATTATTGCAAAAATTAATCGTTCGACAAATTATTATGATAGGATCCAATATTCAGGTCTTCTCTATTTTGCTCCGATTTATCATTCCCCGGGGGGGGATCGCGTCATCCGTTCTACGTTTCTCCATCTAATGGTGAAATTACATTTCGAGCACGTTCGCGGGCTGTAGTCGAATCGTTATTATTCACGAAGTAAAAGTCGTTACTCGAGTAATCGGGGAGCAGCGTCAGGTGTGCGTTCCAGTTTCTTCGTAATCACAGACGGTTCAACGGATCGCGCGTTATCAGTGCACGCTCGATGGCAAATTCATGCTCGCGAGGCACCGAAGACAGGATCCCCAAGATCCGTTTCCGACGGATAAAATTTACCTCCGCGCCATTAAGAAATTCGGAACTTCGAAAAGTAATCGAGCAAGCACGATCGAGCTTCGTAATAAAATTGGTATATCCAAGTCTTCGTCACGGTGTAACGTTTATCCACTGATTGGATTCTCGCTGCGATCTTTCAGAATGTTTATGGAAGCATGTTTCGTTCTCTCTAGCATGCCTTCAGCCTCGAAACATTGTTCCTGTTCGATAAAGATTGTTCGACTCCAAATAGCGATCGCCGTGATTCGTAAAATTGATGGGCTCTCGTGAATTTGTAAAAAGGGGTACGTTGGGTGGGGCAGTATTAACATTGTTACCCGTGGTAATGTGACCGCGGTCGTTTCGCGAAATTGTTTTTATCGGATGGTCGAATGCGCGCGCGTTGCAACCGACAGAAATGAATGAAGGAGCAAGAAAGTCAGGGAAAGCGCAGAGGCAACGAAGTCGCGGCATAATGCGCGGTTTATGCGATCCTCCTTTAATTATTTCGCCAGATGGTTCCGCGGGGATAAGGCTACGATTAAAGCAGGGCTTTAAATGGCAGCGGGGAAATTTAAAAGGCCGTCGGACCGCAAGGCCGGCAATTTGCGTTGCCTCTGTCTTTTAATTGAAAGGTCGAAACGCGTTATTGCATTTTCCTCGGACGTCGTTTATAACGGTCCATCTGCCTCTTTTACTCGCGAAAAACACGCCGACGACCGGAAACCTCTTCCCAACTAAAAATTCATCCGATAAATCAGTGTTTCTCGAACTCGAACACTTTTAAAAACCTGTTTCTTAAAGTAATTCATTTCGATCTCTGTACTGTCACATCTTTAAATCCTTTTAGGGGACATTGATCTCCCGAGGCTGTTATTTAATACTGTTTAACGATAAATAATTACACCTGTTCCTTATTATCTTTACAGAAGCAGAACGAGTACGTTGTAAGTGCAAATATTAAACTACTGTGCAGAGATTGCGAGCTGTCAGGCAACCACAAATTTCTCAGCGTGGGGCTTCAACGTCACGTGAGTTTTATTACATATTTAATTCCTGAAGCCTTTTCATCTACCTCAGGCTACGTATGTACATAATCCTTACTCCTAAGTCCAGTAACGTTACAAAAGTTCTCGAAGACATTTTCAACCTCGGTAACGTTACACTACTTTCCAATTTATGAACTACTTTAAATCTGTCAAATCTCGCTACGTTAAACATCGAAGCATGATTCATTTAACAAGCACGGAAAAACTGATGGAGAGGATCGCGTGGGTGTTGAAATTCGTTTTCATGATTTTCGATTAGTGTTTTCCCAAGCAGCTACAAACATTAAACTTCGCTTCAAAAAGCTGTCCGATCGCGTTGCTGGCAGGAAGCTCCGAAGTCGCGGCAAGAACTGTCTTTCTTCGAAAAGGAAATTCACGTGGGAAAGCTCGAAGGGCGGGCAGTCTTTGCACGTTCTGGAATAAGAAACTTTTCATGACCTCGTGAAACTTCGTTCATCCTACCTTACGTAAGGTATTTTTTCTTTTTTTTTCACCTCTTTACGTAAGAGGGAAGCTTAAAGATTTTATTTCGACCAGGATATGTCACTGGCTGTCCAAATAGTTCTGGCACGGTCAACGGAAAGAGCACAGTCGACACAAAATATTTTATCCTCGAAGCACGAACGCGTTTCAAAAAACTATCGGGTTATTTTCCGAGCTTCTTATTTTTGTTCACGTTAAATTCATCGTTCTTCTTTCGATTCTGTGCTTAAATATAGGAATATTTAAATCGGTTCGGGTTCTCAGAAGTCTGATTCGTTCAATTTCGGTTTTCATAAATATTTTCGGCCGGTAGCACTGTTTCTTTATTCCTGTCCCGCGAGTTCCGAGAGAAATATCCGCGTCATGCTTCCTTTTTACGCCTGACGAAGCTGTTTGCGTAAGGATCACGTGTTAGAGCGATCATCGTGGTTCGCTGAATTTTTTAAACGCCAAACTATGCCGGGAAAATAGTCCGGACGTGATACGAAAAGGAAATAAACTGGCTCTGGAGACCGTATCTCGTGGGAATAATCTGAAATGGCAGCTCCGATGTTCGCGAATACCGCGCGTTTATATTATTCAAAGTCGTTTGGACTGGACGTATATATCAATTATACTTCGACAAGTTGTACTTTAAAATAAACAAAGTCAAAAACAAAATTCCAATGCAGTTTGAAAATATTCTACGTTTCTTCGTAATACTTATAAATCAGA